TCCGGCGCGGTTCACAACCGAGCGGCAACCTGTGTTGCGGCCGGCGGTGGCATTTTCGAAAATCAGTTTTAAGCACCAATAAATTCAAATTAAAGGTAATTTCACGAAGTTAACTTTATACTCATACTTTAAATATATCATGTATTATGCTGGTTTATTATTTTGTTCCGTTTATTGTCAGTAATCGTTACCTTCTATTCTGAGTTTGAAACGGTCATAGCTCCGTAACCGTCCAAAATCGGACACATGTTTCCATGAACTTTTTAATCACAAAGACCAAGGAAATCACCTTCTGCAGTTATGCCCTGAAGTCGTGAAACAGACTGTATAGCGGTAGGCGAAAACAAATCAAATTTCGATGCAGAAACAGAAGCAATACTATGTGCATTGGAACAACTAATCAGGAGACCCAACATACTTAATAAAGCGTTTCTGGTTGTGGATTCAAAAGCAGCGATACAAGCCATATCTTCAAACAAAAGAACTATCATGAGTCAGATAACTGAAATAAAAAAGTGATAAAACTACTGGAAAACACAAAAAAGATAATATACATTCAATGGATACCATCACATGTTGGCATCAATGGAAATTATATTGCTGATGAACTGACAGAGAAGGGTACAAGACTGCATCGCCAAAATAAAATCTTCAATACCTCACTGGATGTTACACATGCATTTCAGTGAACTAATTTCCACTTTTTGTTGTTTAAAATAATATTCTGAAGAACACACATCAAAAGAAGCATATTATATCCATGATCATGCACTACCATTTTGAAATCTGCACACACTGCATGTGACTTCTCCTCTATCTTTGGTCCCTTTGTTAGAGGTTACATAGTATAGTCATGCTTTGTCATTGGTGTACAACTCAGTACTAGTGCCTGGCAACACAGTGATGTGTGTACTGTTCTGCCATTTAGTTGTCTATATACATAGCTGTTGAGAGGGTGGTGGTAGCTCAGGTAGGAGAAAGGGTAATTACTGAAACCCCATAGCTGCTTCTACTGTTCATGAAAATGAAAGAATCTGCATACCAAGAATTTTCCCTACTTCCGTGTGGTCTCCCATGATGCATCATGTGATTTGCTAGACTTTTTTTTAACATATACAATTAGTTCTAAACAATTACAAAATAGAACTCAACATCTGTGTATATATGTCTGATGATTAGTGCTTACACCATAACTTAAATCAGCTCTTTTATAATCTCCACAAAAATCTGTGTTCACAGATTATCAACAAGAGAATATTTCTACTTGATTCATTATTTTTTATTGATCAACAGCAAACAATGGGACCCGTGGATTGATACCTAAGAGACTGTGAGTCAGTCAGACATGAATTTCTAAAGCAGAACCATGGTTCAAAAAACAAAGAACTGGATAAATTGTACATGAATGTTGTGGGAATGGTAATAAACTTCTAATAAATACTGCTTTTGAAAATATTTCATATTGGTAGATTACTCTATGGATACCCAAGTTTCAGTGTAAGTCACAGCTGTCCAATGTTAATTCTCCCAGAAATTGTGATTGTTTCTTATATGTATTTCTTCCATTCACTAGTGTAAGATACCCCGTAGTTTTGAATGAAAATAAAAGTAAACACTCTTGGCTTAAGGTCAGGTAAATGTAACATATTCAGAAACATTTAATTACATGAGAAATTTACATCTTCTTACATATACTTCTTCCTGCTTGATATAGAAAAACATTTTCAGTGTTGCGTGTAAAATGGAATTCTTTATATGCAATATATAACATTACCATCATACACAATACAATCTGCTGTTCACTTGTGTTGTCTTATTTCTGGGGTTTCTTCAGCCATTTTGCAACTCCTTTTGATATTCCATTTCTATCTTATGTGCTATTTTCTCTGCATCTAGTTCCACCTACAGAAAAAATCAGTAAATACACAATAACAATATGTATAGGAGTGAAAGAAACAGAGTAGTCTCCTAAAACCTGTTCTATTTTAATGCCACCCTTACACTTTAACAACAGAGGCTCTGTGAATTGAATTATGGTTCAAAAACTAATATATCTTATGTAATATCAAATTTCTGGATAATTTACTTGCAGTTTAGTTTTAGCCCAAAAAGAGAACATCTTACATGGAAGCCACGTCTCCAGGTACCACAGAGCAGACTGTTCGCCCTGAATTCATTAAGCCTCTTATTTGGCTCCTATATAGCCAAGGTTCCTGAATAAGTGCTATGTTTACTTTTCCTTCAGCAAGTTGTTGACATAAAATTGCTGCAGCAGCCTTCCTGTGGTGTAGATTAATCTGAATGAATCGTATTTTATGTGTAAATGTCATGTGTGTATGTATGTATGCTGTGCGTTCATTCTGTAATGCTGGGAAAGGTGTCCTCCTAAATACCTTCTTCCACAGCCCCTTTTACTTTATTAGACGTGGTTTCCTCCAAGTGAGGTCCCTGATCTGGTAAGGCCAGGTTGACAAGAGAAGGGATTGTCACTTTCACATCAGATATTCTCTTCTGGTCAACTGAGGGAGTGGGTACATCATCCCCTCCTCCCTCAGAGACCAAGTTCGATGATACTGTATCTGACACAGGTTTTGCCTGGCACTGATCCTCAGGATCATTGAGCACCTTAATAGTCCCCTGTGAGAGTCCTGTGAATATTCTGTAACCAGTCCTCTGTATAATAGCATAAGAGTCCCGGTCTTGTACAGATCCCCTTGGAGGGGGGTCCCTCTTCAGTTTAAGGTCCTTATGTCCGGTTTTGTTTTTGGTTCCTTTCATTTTAGTCCCACGAGTTTTGGGGATTTAAAAGGTCGCAATCCGCAGCGCACCATATGGGTGGAAGGCATAAATACAACGGGGTGCTGCCTGGTGCCCCAAGGGGATCGTTCAAGACACTGGATAATTACCACTTCGGTGCCATGCAGCCCTCAGCATGATGCCTCACACCTTGGCTTAGGTGCTCTTTGAATGAAACCCTCACAAGCCTCCACGACTCAGAGTGCCTGTTTGGGGGGGGGGGGGATCCCAGATGATTAATGGCAGTGCTACACCAGTTGGTCATGGGGTTGCGATCAGGGTAACCTGCATGAAAGAGTCGCCCCTGGTGGTGGCCTATAAGCTCCCCCATTCCCACCCCTCCACGTGGGTTGGTCAAACTGTTTCAGAGTGTTCAGCCCTAAGGCTTGCGGCACCTTATCACTACCCTAGGGAGACAACTCAAATAGCCAAAGCTACCCCATAGGAGTGATCTCCCGCATTCATCCCGGGTACACTGTAGTGACACCTAAGAGTCATTATGCCGCCGGGTAGGAGGCTCTGGTCATAATGCCATTGCCCTTTATGGGAACTCAGCTGCCAGCCCCGGTAGGTCATACTGATTCAGACTCCCAAGACTGTCGTTGCCCGGCAGGACCACGAGGTGGTGTCCCAATGCATCCCTGGTACATGATACGTCCCCACCAAGACACAGCCGTGGTTCGGCCAACCTCACCGAGGATGGCATCATTACCACCTGTAACATGTGACATAAATATGTCACAGTTACCCTGGGATCAAACCCAGGCTGCCTCACAATATAAGAACTTTCATGTGAATTTCCACAAATTTCATCTACTGTTCTCTACGAGATCTTCACAGTTAGTCTAGGCTATCACAAGTTTTGTGCAAGATGGGTTCTGAAAATGCTCATGTGTGCACCTTTGACTTTTTTAGAGTGATACCCCAAAGAAGGCCATGAATTTCTCAGTCATATCATAACATGTGATGGAACTTGGATTTCATTTGTGAATGTTGAAACCAAAACAGTGGATGCCCACATTCACCAAACAAGCTGAAAAAGTTTAAACAAATGTCGGCCAGGAAGCTGATGGCAACTGTTTGCTGGGTAAGGAAAGGAGTGCTCATGGTGGAATTCATCCAGCAAGGGGCCACAATAATGTCAAAACTGTATTGTGAAACACTAAAACACTGTGCAGAGCCATTTAGAACAAAAGGCATGGAATGCTGACATACAGTGTACTTTTAGTGCTCCCTCATGACAATGAGCATCTGCATACAGCTGCTCACAGTCAAGCACTGCTGGAGCATTTGAATTGGAGTTTTCTTACCACCCTTCTTACAGCCCTGATCACAGCATTTCAACAATACTGAGGAGCTAATAGGTGTCAAAACATGGCTAAGCTCACAGGCAGCAGACTTCTTTGATACAGGCATACAGGAACTTAATCCCTGATACCATAAGTGTCTCAGTTCTGGTGGTGAATATGTTGAGAAATAGCTTAAGTGCGTTTTTTGTATATAATTAAATTTTCTTTTCTCATTGCTTGTTTTGTTTACAGCTCACCCAAAGTTACTTTCCAAATAGCCCTTGCATAACAGCAGGAACATGTAGCCTGTGTATTTAGTGTGCTCTAAGCCCTGCATTCAGCATAAAAAATGTGTTTATTCCATTAGTTTTCTACAAGGAACATAATTAATTATGTAAACATTCTGAAGCCTACCCTTTTAATACGCTTTCTCACTAAAGTTTATTTTCCTTGGTCCCTTCGAAACCTTGTCAAAAGGGATCCACTGTGTATGTTGTTACTATTTCTTTTGAAGAAACAAACTCATGCATTTCACTACACCCCTGTAAGACACATCGCTGTTGAGTGCTGACCATTCCTGCTATTAAGACTGACACTTAATGTACTTCTGCTCAGTTCTTTCGGACAAATGTCCAGTAGTACCTCAAAACAGTCACTAAATAAACCCAAGAATAAATAGTGTAACGTGGATGGCGTAACGGGAAGTAGGAGTCATGTGAACTCTGTGGTTTTGCGAGTGACAACACATACCCCCACCCCTTCCATTATTACGCAACGCTTGGTAAACCCTCTGTCGCCTCCTGCGATGACGTAACAGCACTTACCGTTGTGATGTAACAGGGGACACCGCGGTGACTACGCAGCAATAAACAACTCTTGGCAGCATTCCCCAGTAATACTTGTAAACACGACGTTACGCAGCAGTGATAGCTACCATGTAACTGTTTCTGTGTTGTCAGTGCGGAAGTTACTAGGGTAGTGAGTAGTGAGTATTGAGCCAGTTACTAGGGAGAGAGTAACCTGTCAGTTGCAGTCTAGCATTCGCCGGAGTGAGCTGAAGCCCATTGTTATTGAGTTGTAGCAAGTGAATGGCAGTGATACAGCAGAATTGTGATCTGCAGATGGCAGTAACTGTGAAACTGTGAACTGTGTAAATGTATGAGCGGGTGGAATAAATTCGCTATATCCAAGATGGCGTGATACATACCCAACACGTGACAATATAATACATATGAATTCATTCATTCATCAGTTCTGTTTTTGGAAAGAGACTATCCAGGAAAAGTGATAATGTGGTAGTTTTTCCATTTGCTTTCCACATCGCAGTACAACTGCCGTTCAAACCACTCTGGTCACGCCTGTTGCTATACGAACTTGAACCATCTTGAGCATCATTTGCTCTGTGCTTCAAGTCGCTGCTGATGACGCTGCTTCCGGCATCAGTTTTTGGTGTCTCTCTTCGTCTGATGCCTACCCTTTGACCTGTCCAGCAAGGGAGGCCCTGCCAGTAGCTACGCTACCGCTGGTATAGCTCTCAGGGTCCTTGGCATACTCAAACCCCCTCACCACGATAAGGTGGAGACACCAACGAGGTGACATATGAATATAATGTAGGAAAATATTCCCCATGTTTTCAGGATGGGTAGTCAGGTCACTATCCCTCCCTACTCTTTTAATCAGAAATAGCTTTGACTCTCTTGCAACCTTTCTTTTCTCATACATGTAGCTAAGGGTCTTCCTATTTGAATGTTTCTATAAATAAAAGATTCTTACCTTATTTTTAAACTGTAGAAACTGCAGATTGGTTTCTGGCTTATCAAATGTTTCCAGATATTTCTTGCGAAAGAAGAGAACTGTGTCCACATGTGTTTTGTGTTTAATGGCTAGTTCCAATGCTCTGCAACATCCAAAGTACAGAACATGTTACAAATAAACTGCTAATGTAAACGTTCAACTGTTCCCATATGACCTGTGAGAACTGAAGAAAACCACAAGATGGTTCTTGCATAACTTGATTGCAATGTACATGCACATTCACCCCATTCTTTCAATCTGTCTCCTAATGCCATATATTTAGTCCTTGGGGTTACAAGCAAGAAATTTCTAAATATATACATATTTTTTAAAACCAATACAACAACTACCTAACTCCATGGAGAAAAGTCCTTCCTACAAAGCTAATATTCATTCCGCCGGTCAAGAAATTTCTGTCATTACTGAACCTGAAGATTCATTACCACACTTCAAATACTGCCACTGACAATAAAAATATAAATTTCCATCTAGACAGCAGACTAGAATGTTTTACTCCATACCAACAGAAAACTAAAGGCTTTGCAATAAAGCTGAAGAATTGTTACTATTTGTTACAGAAGCAGATACTGATAATACCTCTCATTACTTCGTATGCCTTACTGAGCATCATAAATACTTGAACCACTATAATTTCCTGTAGATACAGTAGGCTCCCAAGTAACTAGGAGTTCCTTTTTAGAAAACTGACTGATGTGCCTAATATGAAAAGATATGCATAATGCGAAATTGCTTTTTAAAAAGAAAAAAGGACAAAACATAGGAAAATTAATTTTGTGGCAGACAGTCACTGCCTAGACATGCAGGTCCTGCACAAGCCAGCACTGACATAAAACAGAACTACCACTAAGAATAACTATGCAACCAACAAAACCGCCCCCACTCCATACAAACATAAATGCCAACAAGAATTCAGGCCAAGCCACCCCAGGAGGAACAGTAGAACAAAGAAATGTGTGTAGTGGACAAAGTGTGTTCAGTGCCACACATTCATATGAAAAATTCAATATCTACAACTTAAGCAAAATAACCACAATGTTAAACAAAAGACAAAAAACCAACCCACTACAGTATACAATACGGTCATGTGACAGAGTGACTATAGATGGGTTTGAATTGGTAACTGGATTTATTGAACGCTTACAGATTCTAACTACAGCACTAACATTACTTCACACACTCTGCAGTTCACTACAGCACATATGTCTTCTCGGTCTGCTAAATCACCTGGTAATGGTTTCCAATGCCGTTAGCTGCCTCAGCTTCTATGTTCATGTCCTAACTGGCTGGTGACTGCCTCATAACTAACTAAATTCTAGACTTGTCCTGCTTATAACACCTTGGAATGGACTGCACAGAAAACACCTTTCCCAATAGTTCTTCTACTGTTGCATCTCATAGCTATCACAAAAAGACCATGTAGAGAACACCGCTTCCCAGGTACTCCATTGTTCCATGTTACGAATCTTTTACCAGGCAACAGGCAAGTTTGCCGAGCCGTTCCCTAGTAATGACTGTCTCTGCTGGCCTCACAGTTCTTGCCTTGAGCAAATATGCCACAATATGTAATGTACAATAAACTGGTTTTGGCTTACAAGAAAATTTATGCTAAGCACATGATTCAGTAATTGTAAAGGCCGCGCCATAGCTCGAGCAGTTAGCTGCTGGCTTCCCACTGTGGCAGCCCAGGTCTGGTCAAGTAGAATTTGTGGTGGACAAAGTGGCGTTGGGGCGGGTTTTCTCCGAGTACTTCGGTTTCCCCTGACAATCTTCATTCCACCAAATTCTCCATCATCATAATCACCTGGGGCAGGCTACAATAGGCCAATAAGTGACCGCCGTGCTGAGTGGACCAAGCTGGACTCCACCCCTACTAAGTAAATTAAAAAAAAAAAAATTACAATAATTGTAACTAAAAACCGAACCTGAAAATGGCACACATATGCCAAAACATGTCATCTTAGACAGCAACTCCACCCGCAGGAAATTGTGTTGCATTGGCAGGAATATAATAAATATTATCTACAGTGATTTATACCGCAGCAGGAAACAAACACAAGTTTATTTTATATGGTCATGAAACATACTCTCTTACTCTCTGGGAAAAAAAAAATTAAACGTTAGAAAACAAAGCAATAGCTTTGACATGAAAGTAAGAAAGAATCTATAAGGAACTCTGTCATTTGGTGAATTTTCTCTAGCACTGATAGGTTGTTATGGAGCTTCTGATGAATAGCTGCACATGAAGCTCTAAGGTAGAAGGAAGAAATGTGCACAGAATTTTGGAAAGTAATTTCTTGGGAAACCAAGCTGGAACTGTGAGGGTAATATAAAGACTGATCTTATGAAAAAGGCAGTGCAAATATGAAATGAAGAGAACTGGAGGGACCTGCCATTATAGCAGTACCACAAATATTAAAAATGTGCAAAACTTATGTCACACTACTTCAAACACATGTTATATTGTGTAAGAACATTATGATGGCATCAGGTGGTACCAGAGAGAAGTGTCAGTGTGGCAATATAGTGCAACCAAGCCTTCCAACTGGGTCCACTTTCAAGTCATATGTGTACCACTAAGCAGACAAAATATTTTTGTTTGTGATACTACTACAGCTGCACATTCTAGTACTCTTAACAGAGTCACTGGTAGTTACTTTAGATGTGTTACCTGTTCCAGTTGTGTAAATGCAAATTAGTGAAAATGGATCGAAACACGAGTCCATTTTGTAGCAATATGCTCTCTGCATCTTGAATATTGCCACCAAGTAATGCCATCTCCGCTAACTGTACTGTGCGGAGTGGATTTGCCTGCAGTAGGAAATGCATGTTTAATAACAAGATTATAATTAAATAATAAAATTGTGTTCTTAATATAAAACAACAATCATTTATACAAAACAGTGTTACTATTTAATACAGCAGCATCAGAATAAATACAGAGTTTCGAGGTGACAGGGAAGGCAAATCTAATTTTTATGGTTTGCATTACAGACTGTGTGTTCTGTTTCAATGGTTTCTATGCTCTAATGGTAAGAGGTTCCCTTTATGTGAATAAAAACGTTTGAGGTCCCCAATATACAAAAATACTTTGAATTAGATTTACAAAATTGAAATAATACAATTAGCAATGAACCTTAATTATAGCGAAATGCCTATGTAAGGGTGTTTTTTAAGCAGCTGATCTGAACATTAAATTGAGGTGAATCTTAAATGGAAGTAATTTAACATTAAGATTACTGACATGGGATCATTGAAATTTAACATTAAATGAGGAAAACCCTTAAATCAAGGAAGATTAAATGGAGGTTCCACTGTACATCAGTGAAGTATTTTTCTGTTAAATTACAGTGGAACCTTGCTTAATGAGCACCTCTCATAATGAGCAATTCGCATAACAAGCAAAAAAATTGTAAAAAAATGACTCGCTTAATGAGTGATGTTTCGCATAACGAGTGACGAGAGGGGAAGTCCCAGATTGTGAGCTTGCTACATCAGTCTGTGTTTAGCACTCGTTCCACTAGCATCTAAGTGTCGCTTGTGATCACACACATTTTTCCAAACTTGTGTTCAGACATATTATTTGTGATTTATTTTGTGCAAAGTTTAATAACCCTTGCAAAAATGTCCCCGAAGAAAAAGCCGCAAAAAGACAGCCATAAGAGAATAAAACTAACCGTAGAAATGAAACGTAAAATCATTGAGAAGCGAGAACAAGGTGTGAGCGTGGCTGATCTAGCATGCACATACAATCGGTCTACATCAACGATCTGCACGATTTGGAGTTGCATTGTGTTTCACAGCATGAAGTTGTGGAGGAGAGTTTGTCAGAGGAGGAGGAGGAGGTAACATCAAAGCAATAAGAGAAATGCTGAAAGCATGGGAAACTGTTGCATCGTACATTGAGAAGCACCACCCTGTTACTCGTAAGGCAGTGGCTATGCGTGCTACAAATTTATTTGATGATAATGCTGTGTCGCGTTTTCACCAAATTTTGAAGTGTTGGCAAAAACAAATGTCTCTAGACAGCTTTCTTGTAAAAAAGAATTAGATATGAATCATAAATAATAAACTAATTATCTCGATTTTTTTTTGTTTTCTGCAAATCGAATTCGCATTCCAGGTTGGTTCATTCCGCACAGAAGAAAAGATGAAGATGATTCACGCTCCTTAACAATGTATATATAATTTTCTTTGAATAAATGTTATACATAAAAATTTTTTTGAGTATTTTTTCGGCATGGAACGCATTATCGTATTTTACATTAATTTATATGGGAAAAATTGTTTCGCTTAACGAGTAAGATTCTGGAACAAATTATGCTCGTTAAGCGAGGTTCCACTGTATATGCTTGTATGGTAGTGTGATTCTTTCTTATCATTTTTTTTTATAACTGGACCATCAACATTTTCGTTGGGCCTCAGAATAAAGCTTCATGGCCTCCTGTGGAGCTACAGCTCCCTATTTGGGAACCACTGTTCTATTTCACTGAGTGTACACTGTGTGTACATACTGTTTAGATCATACTATGTGGTTGAGTTGGCCAGTCACGCTAGCTGAGCATTCTACGGCATGTACTGTCTTTGCTCACTTGGAAGCCAGGATAGTGGGTTTGAATCCCACAGAAGGCATGGATGTTTGGTGTGTGTATGCATTTATTCTGTGTTTTTGTTGTCCTTTGTTTAGGTAGAGGCCTTGCGATAGGCTGATCACCTGTCCAAGGAATCATACCGTCTGTAAAATTGATCAATGAAACTGAGAAATCAGCCCTATGCTCCAAAGTGGGAGTGAAGAGGAAAGGAAAAAAATGTGGCTGAGTTAGTAAATTAGTTCATACATTGTGTAATGTTTCTTTGGATCTCCCTTCACCAGTTGGCAATATTGGAATTTCATACTTGTTAAGGTGGACCCTAAACACTTATTGGCTTGTTGGAAAATATGGTAGGGAATGTAAGATTTTAGGTTTTCACGGCAGTGACTATGAAGAAAGCAGTCTTCTGGGATGAGGCACCATGTAGATGTGGTGTTAACCAACGTTTCAGAGGAACGTATCGCCTCCATCTTCAGGGTAGAAGGAAAAATAAGAAAATCCGCAAGCGAAGAAACAGTGAGAGCTGAGTTTACTTCCGACATTAGTCTGCTTGCACCTGCTCTCACTGTCTCTTTGCTAGCGGATTTTCTTATTTTTCCTTCTACCCTAAAGATGGAGGTGATACATTCGTCTGAAATGTCGGTTAACACCACATCTACATGGTGCCACATCCCAGAAGACTGCTTTCTTCATGGCAGGAAATGTTCACATATCAACAGTGATATTTTCAGAGTAACTGCTGCTTTCCTCTGGAATCTGGTATGACAATTATGAGAGCTGTATCAGTATTTTCAATTTCCTCTTGATTTCAGTGGGCTATTATCCTACTCTTGAATAACTGCTTTGGGTTGTTGTGTCTATTGTTTCTTACAAGCACTTCATCAACAAACAGATTCTACACTTATCACAGCAAGTCAGTCATGAATCGGTAATGTTGTTGCAGACTGGCTGATATCATTAGCTGTCATGGTCCTATTTGTAAAACACATAATTCTGTGCTGGTACCCAGGCTTCATTAACAGTCAAAAGGCACTGCTAAAAACACGATAATAACATACACTTTTACTCAAAATATAAGCTTATGTTCTACAATACTGAAATAAATTAAAGGAAATATCATGCACACTAGGAGATGAGGTAAGGAGCTGGAATAGCATAGTCGGTATAGAGACAGACTACATGTTGGATGAGCGAGGGGATGGAGTTCGAGTCCTAGGAGGGTCAAGAATTTTCCTTTCTTCACACAGTCCAGACTCACTCTGTGGTCCACCCAACCTATCCAATGAGTATGGGGGGTTCTTTCCCTGGGGGTAAAGGTGGCCGGGGCATGAAGCTGACCACTTACCTCCAGCTAGTGCCAAGGTCAAGAAAATGTGGATGTATACATTCACTCCCCATACACCTTCATGGCACAGTGCTTAAGTAGTTAAGCACAGGGATAACTTTACCTTTTAGGAGATGTGGTATGCAACAGCAGTTTTAAAAAGAAATTATATTTAAACAGTAGTATATATAAGCCACTAGATCTGTGGTGAGGAAAAAATACCAGTATCCTGATAATTAATTAATCTTGAAAATAGAAATATGCGCACAAATATGCAGAAGAGAAAGAAATCCTGCCTTGTAGATACATCACTAGATACTGGTTAAATAAAACAAGAATCTTCAGTGTCCATACGAACATCACCTTAATGTGCTGTATGTATGCAACTTTGTCTGTTTCATCAATAGCTGCATAAGCTTCCTCTGCTGTAGTCAGGTCTTTCGCATGTGTTGACATGGCAGCAAGACATGCCCACAAGGTGGAGTCCTGAAACAATTATTCAGTGCTTCTGAAACAGCTTTTGATGCTTTTGCCAATTCTTGTTTTCTTGTTATTATACTGAAATTTGTATCATAACAATCTGCCATTTCCACAGTTCCAGGCCTGTTAAGTTTTTGGTTTAAAATTAACTAATAACAAACTTGTTTGATATGATTTGTGCTAGCATGTATGTGGCCTGGAAATATGATCACTTATTCATTCTAAAAGTGATATACCACACTACTTTGAATATAAGATGCCCTCAGGTTTAAGACTCATCCAGCTTTCAAATGTGGGTTTCAGGAAAAAAATTAGAAAGGTGCACATTCCTTTAAGACACACTTCAAATTTTCAACAGGAAAAAATGTGTAAAATGTCTTATATTCAAAGTAATGCAGTATTATAAATTTAAGAATTAAAGTAAAGTTGAGTAACATTAAATGAATTGCAGTGATAGGTAGTAAGGTAGGTAGAAGGTAGAATACAATTATCCGCACTTTCGCCATAACACATCTTTAGGTTTGTCACACTACCTTCTGCACATGCATGCTTAAAGTTGGTACTATTATAGTCACATGATTGAAGTTTGACCTTGATCGCCTCATTTTGTTTGATGCTGCGACAGCATAAACATGGCCGCTCCGTTAGCAGTGTGCACAAAGGAGAAACAAAGAACAGTGATTCGATTTCTCTGGTTGGAAGGTGTGTCAGGAGCTGAAATTCATCGGAGGCTTTCAACACAATACAGGGACAGTGTTTTACTGTGTAGAAGTGTGTATGAGTGGATCGAGAAGTTTAAAAGTGTCCGGACAAGAAATTCAAGACTCAATCTTCCGCGAGAAAGGTGATGCTAACCGTTTTTTGGACTCAAAAGGGCCTATACTGGAAGACTACCTGGAAAATTGGTGTACGATCAACAGTGCAAGATACAGTGATTCGCTGACCAACAATCTGTAGCCAGCAAATTGGCGCCAAACGCCGAGGCCTATTGTCAAAGAAAGTGTTGTTGCTGCATGACAATGCATGCCAACACATGGCTGGCCAGACTGTTGAAACCATTAACCATTTGGGTTTCCAGGTGCTGGAACACCCTGCCTACAGCCCAGATTTTGCCCCTTCTGACTACCATCTCTTTGGACAGCTCGAAGATGCTTTATGAGGTCGTCGATTTTCTATGGACAAAGAAGCGGTGCATAAATGGTTGCGTGACCAACCGAAAACCTTCTTCTTGGAGGGAATATGCAAGCTTGTGGACTGCTGGACAAGTGTATCGAAAAGGAAGGAGACTATGTAGAAGAATGACGTACTTGATCAACCCCTACTTTTGTGTGTATAAATTGGATAAACAAGAGTGCGGATAATTTCTGACTTCCCCATGTATATTTATTATGCTTGCAGTATTAGCACAATAGTACCCTGTATTTCAGGATAAGGAATGTAAAATTACAGAGAATGTATTTAAAAGTTCCATGTATTCAAACAGAAGAACTTTTCCTTTCTTGTTCTACAGAACTGCTGGCAAACTTAAACCTTAAGAGACATGCAAAAGCATTTAAATTCATAGAGACATGTTCCTTTCCAATGCAGATAATTTATATGCCTTTTCTACCCTATAGTGCAGTATAATAAATGCAGAATGTAAATTTTCTTTCATGTTCTACTGCAATAGATGCAACAAAGTGTTAGAAATGTTCTTTGTTCACTGTTAATGCTTGTGATTTGTGGAAACTAATTCCTAAATGTACATTCAGAGAGTCTCTCAGATGCAGAAGAATATATTGTGTAGATCAAACAAGATACTCAATGAGGAGCATTCATGACTTGTAAAAAGTATATGATGCAAAGAGAATGATCTTCTAGGTTTCCAGACCTGTAATCAATGTGGTCCTTAGATGTTAATTCAATAAAACAATCTGATACAACATTTTATATTCACTTCAGTCAAATACTTCTCTGCCCTGGCATTTTTTGGCTGAAATTTTGTCATCCTCTGTGGTATTCAGCTTGGATAGTAAGCTACTAAAAGTTTTACATAACAGTACTTCACATAATTCAAAGACAGTAAAATCGGTTTAACACAAATCCATATGGTTTGATGGTTTGTGGTTTCTTTTAAGTTCATGTTGGTATCTCAGATTATATAGCATCAAATGGGACGCCAGCTCATGAATAATGACTTGGAAAGAATTTGGAAGGAAGTGATTGTGGCCTAATGGAAGTATAATCCCAGAATTTATCTGGAATGGCAGAAGAATGCCACAAGAAAACCTCAGTCAGCTAGTGTCCTGGCTGAGACTAGAACCAAGCTCTTTCTAAATACACGCCTAGAGCTTTATTACCACATTATCCTGCTCAGTAAAGTAATGATCTGTCATAATTAGCATGTTTCCACCAGTTGTCTTCCAAGTATAATAACCATTCTATTATGTAAAATGATATCGTTGTGTCATTATTTTGATGTCCATTACTATGTTTCTATCTTCTATTTAGTTTCATCCTGCTTGGTGACCTCTTGTAGTATCCAGAGATTTTTAACCATATGAATACAGCATGTTAAAATAACTCTCACATGCTGGAGGTAAAGTGGTTAGAGATGAAGGTGATCATTAACCTTCATCTACTGCTGCAGTTAAGAATGCAAGACGCTATGACTACACTTCTTCATATGTCTTCAGGGTTTGGTGCTTAATTAAGCAGAAGGACAACTTAACATTAGATGTGAGATGAACCTGACACATTCCAGCACTGATCTCCAACAAACATAACCATTTGTCAGCAAGTATTATAACAGAACAGTTAATGTGATTTTTACATAACATTCAGGCATAATATATTTATATTACCCATTTTCTTCTGATGTAGTGTTTTTCTTCTACAAGTGGCATGCAAATAATCGAACGCCTTGCCAACAAATTTTTAAAGATTATATTGTAACTTTGGCTGCGCTATTCATACTTGAAGTGATATGTTTTATTAAAAATGTATAAAGGATTCATTGTAAAAAATTTGGACATTCATAATTACAATATGCGAAGAAAACTAAATTTACATGTAAATCACTGCAATACAGATCCTCTTATAAATGTGGGAATCACCTTGTATAATAAAGCCCCTGAGCAGATAAAATTAAAGAAAAATTTTAACTCTTTTAAGACAGACTTAAAATCCTTTCTGTTGAAACATTCCATTTATTCCGTTCAAGAATTTATGTCCCTTTAATTCTTAAGTGAGTGTGTTATGGGTTTCTGTTATGACAAATATCTTGTCCTCACTTAATCTATAAACAAATTTGCATGCAGGGTCTCTTTTGGATATTGCATTGCTGCAAGTGGGATGATGATGTGCTGTATGACTGTGATGTGTACGGAATCTGTAGGTAGTTAAATGTTATATTAATATGTAGTTATTGACTTGTTCTATATCCAGAGGTTGTATCACCAAATATGGATTCCTGGAACAAATAAAGTGATTGACTGATTGCATCAAGCCATAACAATGGATAAGTCAGATACAAATGTTTAATAATTGTTGGACTGATGCAGGGTACCATCTGACAGGTATCTATTTTCATTCTGCAAGCCAAACAATTCTACAAGGTGCAAGGTGTAAGGTGAATCTCAGTCCAGGGATATGAGATTATATGAAATCTGCCGTTCTGAAGCACAGCAGTTTTTTGTGTCAAACAAAAGACTAACCTTGGACTGTTCTTGAATGGTCACAGTAAATATATTTTGCTTATTCCCAAACTAAAAAATATCTGTCTGCAAAGTAATGATACAATTTCATCAATGACTAGTTATTCAACATTATATAAGTTTTTGATGGATTGGTAATATATGTACTGTGACTGTTACCAACCACAACAGGAAGTGGTTACCTAGCACCATCAAATATCACAATAATACTGTTCAAGTTTCCAAGTTTTCTCTCATGCAGTAATATAGCTCCCGTTACTTATGATATCAGTTTTCTGACTGAAATTCACATGGTGTGCCAGTTGTGTCCATGAAATTCTTCATACCTTGATAAATCTACAGAGGCGGAGTGCATCATCCCATCGAGAGGAAGCTGCATAACCATGAAGAACAGAGGGATATGGTGATACACTACTGGTCACAAGTGAGCCATCCACACGCCTTACACCCAGATGATTTCCATCAAATGATACCACTACAGGATTCTTACCAAATTCACTGGTGGAAAAAAAGAATTGAAACTTTATGACTGAATGGAGGCACTTCCTCAAAGAATGATAACATATGAATGCCCAACTCAAATTCTAGTAAATTGTATCCCTCTCTCTCCTTCCACACACCAACCTGACTTGGCCTACCCCAATAGAACCAAGATTAACATACTTTTAAAAACAACAGTAACTGTTACAGGAAATGAATCTGAACAAACTATATAACAGGAACAGTAAGAAGTTACAGGCAAATGACATGCTACCCCTAACTGAATATTTCTCTTTTACACATGCACATGCCAAAGCCCTTGCCAACGTAACTTAAACAGGTTCAACTGACTATGTTAGACAAACAGTTGTGAGAGCATGTACAGCTTATGTGCCATTACTATAACATACATTTTACAGTTAAGTGCAACGGCTGTTTTACAACCATCTCTTACATATGTGAAGTCAAAAGGTTGTGTGGATTCTAATTGTAGCATTTAGAATGAGTAACACGGTGTATGCAGAGATTTGGTAAAATTTTAACTGTTATACCTCTTACTGAAGTTCAGTAAAAGTCAGAGCACTTATTCTCATATATACATACACCATACACAGCAAATTATAGGCAGAATGTGGGACTCACAATCATGCAGCAAATGGTGGGTGAGACTTTTGCTCATTAAGCATACCTACTAATTAGCACTCCATTACAAGCAGAAAAGTTATGCATATTTATGAACAACTCTTCAGTTCAGATAATGTTGATGATAATAGGAACATTGAATTATTATTCATTATTTTCATACTTACATGACAACAACTCCAAAGATGAAGAAATATTGCCATACACACACTATTATTAAAACCTTAGTGCCATAGTGTATTATATATAATTGCATGTTAAGGTAAGGACTTGTGGTTATGAAATTCAACCATGCTTGGATATTACAAGTGTTTGCTTGAATGAGTATTTTTGAGATTTTTAAAAATTCCCATAACACTGAGATAGCACTGTATATACTTTTGGATACAGGGAGCAAACACAAATATTCAGCTACTAGCCTAAATCTTTACTTTTATAAATTATTTTGAGCCTTCCACTTCATAAATCACATGAAAGTAATTTACCTGGCATCCCTATGGCTAACAGTTTTCTTCACTAATCGCTTATCCACATAGAGTACAGTTGGATAATACCAGACAATGAGGTTTGTATCCTGTACTGCTGCTAGCATATTTGTATCATTGTTCCAACACAGTGACTGGATCATAGATCCTGAAAGCATGAAAAGGAGCACATATATCTTCCTCAGAACCTATGACAGCATGGCTGGAAGAAATTTATTTCCCTCCAGAACATTTAAAATAATAATAACAAAATTCAATTCATAACACACAAAACTTCTTTTGCATCTGTCTGATCTTCCACAGCTGGCTATGAAAGTGTTAAACCATCATTATTAGGCCTTTGATGTTATAGATGGAATAATTCTGCCATTTATAAAAGCACAGTACGAATTATAGGTTTATCTATGTTATCAATTATACAGAGAGTTGTGACAATGACTTCTCTTTAAAGAAATTCTACAGGGATAGAAAAGAGTGAAATGAATATTTTGTGCTCAGCATTGGTACTAATATCAACAAACTTTTGTTCCCAAGAGACTGGCACTAGCATTAGTACCATCTAAAAGTTTAAAAATCTAAAGAAAGAAAACTATCTGCAATATCTTCACGAATACTTCACTGTTGGATAGATCTAAGTTTACAGTTTACAGTCGTAGAATGACGTCATGGCACTGTAACACAGGACCACTGTAAACCAACTGCTGCATTTATTGCTACTCTTGTGTGGTCTCTTTTTCTCACTATAGATGCGGGTATGCTCGTAGCAGTCCCGTCACTACGTTTCTTCTCTCTGTCAATATTCTGCTGTTTCCTCTAACAATATGTCAAAATCAAGACCAAGAGCCATGGTGTGAGACATTTCCTGGTTTAAAAATGATTGAGGTTTGGATGAATATGAAATTGGAAGACATTCAAAATAACTAAGATACTACAAACAACAGCAGTGGTCAAGGTGAAACAGTTTCTGAACCATCAACAGGGCAAATAAATAAATGGGGAGCAATCAGACAAGCAGGTAGTTAAGAATTACAATAGAAACGGAACAGAGCTAGAGTAAACAGACCTGCATTTTCTACTCCTCCAGGGCGAAACCCAAATTTGGATATTTCTGAAGACAGTTCTCCATCCGACTTTTTCCATTTGTTTTTTGAAAATGAAATGCTCTCTCTTATTCAAAAAGAGATGAATGGATAGCTGAACAACGAATAAACAGAAAGAAAGAGGAAGTACATTTTAAACCAAAAGCAGTTCATAATGAATGGAAAGTTACTTCAGAATAAATATATACTTCTAATTATAACAGCTACATCTCTTCTGCAGAAACTTTACTTATGGGACCATCACAGGATGCAGTTAGTAATTTGTACCAATTATATGAAATCAAGTGGATTGTGGCTTGTTGACAGACAGTTTTGTAGCCAGCTTTGCAATGCTACATCTGAACAGAGTGAAACCCATGTACCCACAGATCAATCAAGATGGCCTCCTGTACAAAGTACAAACCATTCTGAAAAGTCTGCAAAATTTCAAATATATATGAAAACCCCATAAATACTGGAAGTGTATGCTTGATACCACTCCAGTGATAAAGACTACAATAGCTCATACACTGCTGTACACAGAATCTGTGAGCACACAAAAAATAAGTCTATTACATCAGGTTTGAAGAGCTAAATTAATGAGCTCACCAAGTTTACACAGCCTTTTCAAAGTTGCAGAACCCCTTATGTTTGTAAGGTACATATCTCTATTTTTGTCAACAAGGACAAGCTGTCGCTCGCCTGGTGATCCAGCTTGGTTCAAGGCTATTTCAACTACACCGCCACCATGTCTTATGGGAGGCGCATCAACCAATGACCGTGCTGTTCCCAGTTCAAACAAATGCACCACTGAAACAGAGTAACCATTTGTACAGGAGTACACAACTGTGATCCATAATATTGTAACGTGTTTCGTTACTGAATACGCCGTAGAGATCGTTAATTGGTTTATTGAACAATCTACAAATATCGGCTACAATTAATTATCACAATGTTATGGGTTTCCACACTTTACAAACCCTACAACAAAATCTCTTAACACTATCTTCCAGAGTCTTCACGTATTAATAGCGCGGGAGCTATACAAGTCTCGCTGAATTACACACTCCAAATATAACTGGTTATCACGAAATATCACTGATTCTCGCACACGCGTCTGTAGCTCGTAACTTGCGAACTGAGAACTCGTTGATAACACACTGACTCTCGCTTGCTGCTCAGCCGGCTTTTATTCCGTTCGCTATTGCTAGGGTCGCCTGCCACGTCACTACTGTGATGTGGCGTATAGCCTAGCAACGCTGTTACCCCTTGGTGACGTCACTGCTGTTGACTCGCGTTGCATAGCTACGAGGTTGCGGGGACTCGGCTAACTTCGGCTCCGCTCGTGATGTCACCGCGGGGAGTGTGGCGGAGTGATGACTTGCCTATTACGCGAGCGCTACGTTACCGCCACGTGCCGCTGGGGAGGTAGGGGTAATTCGTTATGCAACATGTCACACTGCTCCCTCCTTAAGGCTGTTCGTCCCGAATAGCCTAACGGTGCATCCCCGTTCCTTTGCTTCGGAGGCTGTTCTTGCAGCATCTGTTCTCTGGCCGTCACACGGCTCCCTTCTCAAGATCAACTCGTCTCAAGCGGTTTCCTTTCAGCTCGTCAGAAGATCCAGTTGTGTCCCATTCATCCATCGCTTTCTCCCATGGCACATTCACTCTCTCTGGGGAGGCCAGTTCTTCTACATTACAGGTTCCTCCTCTGCTTGAAGTCTCTTTTCCGTTTTGGAGGGGGTCATCCCCTCCACAAGGTCCAATCCTTGATCATTTCTTTCTTCGGAGGTTCCTTATGTCGACGTAACAGCTCTTGATGCGTTCTTTGCACTTGCTGACGTTGTCGTTCCTCCTGGTCTTCCAGCCGCTTGCTGGTACAGGACCGTGGCGCCAAGTCCTTTCTCCGGTATCTGAAGGTTCCCTGGGGAGTTTCCTTCTTGAAGTCATTTCTCCAACGTCGTTCCACTGTCGCGCGACGGGATGTCTTCCTGCAGGGGGCAGCCAACTTCTTCTGGCGTCCACTCTTTTCCCGCGTCGAAGTCTTCATATTCTGATTCTTTCAGTCCCTACGCCTTTTCTTCTTCGGTTCTCCGACCGGCATTACTTCAATTACAATATTAATTACATTAATTACAATATTAACATTTAACTTTGACCTCTTACCTTAGTTTATGGAAAATGTATAGCCAGATTTATGCAAGTTCTTCACACAACACTTAATGATCACTTCAATCATCTCTGGAGTTTATGCTAGGATATAAAAGTAATGAAAAGATATATTTTCTGCCTCTCAGTGCTCTGATTAGGCACAATGTGTCATGCTGTGACCTCTACAAACATGTTCCATGATATCACAACTCACCAGCTTTTCAATTCATACCTGATGCCAGCAGACATGAGTTTAATTCCTTGTCTGGAATATTCTGTAGTGGTCCGGTCAAGTTGCAAAATTAATATTTATTTTGTCAAGTTTAAAATGATTATAAGCATTAATACTGTCAATTAACTTAATATTTTACAATAGTATTATATTTAAGCATCCTGTTGCACTCCATACGATAAATGATATAATGATACAAATTCCGTCTCAAGTGCAAACAATATATTATGTGTCCTTGATCTTGTTTCTCTACACTACATGTTTCGGCCTCAGATGGCCATCATCAGGTGTATAACACTCACGTTGCTGTCACACTGCACTCAGCCCAAAATTTAACATTTAAAACACTTTCCTTGTTGTTATCAACATCTACTTCGTTGATATCTGTCTGGTTTGAAGATTATTTTACACACGTTAATTTAAAACGTTAATATAAAATAAGTAAGAAAGGCCTACAAATGAATGATACACACATAGAAACACACAATCCCACATTTCAAACGATACAAGAAATCTACACAGACTAACGGTACCTCTCTCTCCCCACTACCCATCCCCCCCTACACTCACCAACATAAAACTCAGCACACAGTACATCTGACAACACACGTAGTAAAGTATAACAGCGGCACGCACACAGGAAGGCTACATAGGGTAAGTACAAATAACAATATAAACACATAAGAAAACATTACGTTCACAAGATAACAATACAAATATATTTATATATTACAGAAAATACCTATACAGTGTGGAAACAAGAACTAGCCGCTGCAGCACTTTAGACATAGGGCGAGTAACCCTAACAGTTTTAAATTTAAAATTTAGAGAAAAATTTTAAAGGATTTTAAAATTAGAACTAAAGATTTTATAGTGCTACAGGTACGTCAAAATTAACGTGTGTAAAATAATCTTCAAACCAGACAGATATCAACGAAGTAGATGTTGATAATAACAAGGAAAGTGTTTTAAATGTTAAATTTTGGGCTGAGTGCAGTGTGACAGCAACGTGAGTGTTATACACCTGATGATGGCCGTCTGAGGCCGAAACATGTAGTGTAGAGAAACAAGATCAAGGACACATAATATATTATTTGCACTTGGGACGGAATTTGTATCATTATATCATTTATTTTACAATAGTGTTGTAATCTGTTGAACATCAGTCACAGTGCAAGTACAAAGAAAAACCTGAGACCTGTACTGGACTGGATGATAAAAAAGTTATTACTATTTAGAAAGGACAAAGAATCTGACAAATGTCTGAAAACAACTGCAAATTTTTCTGGATGTTTCAGAAATGAAACAGTTGTCTCAGCCTCAAAATATAACATAAATTACTTGAACAGTTTTACAATTGAGCAGACCTGCACTGCTCCTTCTTTGAACAAGACTCTAGAGTCATTCAAAGAGACACCATTTTCCACTAAAATGTTGTTACAAGTGAAGCCTCCAAAGTAAAATTTCAAGAAAACCAGAGGAGCTACAAAAAAGAAAAATATTCAGTTTAACATAGTCCAGTGGCAGTGACAGTTCAGGTGAAAGTGAAATGATAGCATAGTTGAAGAAGAAAGTTAACATAAGTGGGAGGGGGGTGTGTGTGAAATTTTCAAACATTGACATTCTTAAAATTATCACCTGATCCAATATGAAAATCCAACAAGAGTTCAATGCCTCAAATTACATGGTTCACACTGCCAAGAAAGGGGTGGCTGATAATGGAATTCTGTAAAATATAAATGTAAAAGCAGGGAAAGTGCTGCATTCTGAAACAGCTGAAAAGGCAAAGCAATTTTATGTACCTCATGAAATCACCACGATCACATTATGAAAAACAATTATGTCATCACCTCAGATGGCAAAAAGGTTAATCTTCAGGAATGAATGATAAGTGTAATCCAAAACAAGGCTATTTAATTTATAAGGAACAAAATCCTGAGAAGCTGCTAGGTTTCCGACATGGAGCAAGCAGTGTGCATGCAATATGTGTATATATGATTCATTAGAAAGTGAAACTTACGATTTCAGGTGCAAAACTGTATGTTCTGACTGAAAAGCAAGCAAAGACTTACAACTATTTTTCTAAAATTATTTTTTTTTGTACTAAGTGTAAGTTGCTTCCATGGAGGCTCTAAGATATGTCCGGGGACTGAGAAGTGATCAGAAATAGTGAGCACAGATCAAAAGACAACAACCTAGACAATAAAACCTATAGACAGAGGTTGATTTCTGACAGATCAATTCTGGAAGAAACAGTGCAATCTTGCAGCGGCTTTCTAGTCTTTTGCTGAAAAAAAGTGTAACTTCTAGGTTCATCATTCTTTTATAGCATGACAGTAATCATGCTTCTATAAGAAAATAAAACTGAAACTTAAAACTGGAGTAGCTGCTGTCATTTGTAATTTCTCTGAAGAGTAATCCATCATACAACATGAAGTACAAGGTTTTCAGTGAAATAATTTTCAGGCAATTCTTCATCCCTTTATGGCTTTCCATTCACAAAAAGAAATGACACCACACATCAGTTTCGTTTTTATACCAGATTATTTAAAACATTGTTCCAAAGCAAATCATTCATCTTCCCTTATGGAAAATTGAAAGATCTGAATAAAGGTAAAGTTGTCCTCATGCTTAACTAATTAAGCACTATGATATGATGGTATAGGAGGGAGTGATCCACATTATCTTGATCTCAGAACTAGCTGGAGGTGAGCAGTCAGCTTAATGCACAGGCTACTTTACTGCTGGGGAAAGGGCCCACAGTACCCAACTGAAAGGAGGCTGGGTGAGCCCCAGAACTGGACTGGATAATGTTGAGAAGAGAAAATTCTTGACCCTACTGGGACTCGAACTCTGACATCTTCTGTCATCCAGCCTGTAGCCAGTCGCTATACTGAATGTGGTATCTTGGCTCCAAGATCTGAATAAGATTAACTATTTTTCCAATGGTGCTGCCACACAGTATAAAACATGAAAAAGTTCATGAAGCTCCACTATCATAAGGATGACTTTGGTATTGATGTCAATTACCCTTTCTTTACAGTATCTGTGGTGGATGCGCATGTGATGGGAGACCAATTAAAAGGCCAGCAAGATAGGTAAGTCTGCAACACCCTTGCCAGGAGCAGATCATAACACGCAAAATTTCATGACTGGGCTGCTGTCAAGATTCCCTGTCACCTGTCTGTACTGTATTGCTAAAGTCCAGAGCAAAGAAACAATGATGCTCCAATAGGGGTTCAGGGAAGCTAAGACACTTCCAGATACTCAAAACATAAACTGTCATTCCTGCCTCAAAGCACTAATCTAACCAGGGAACAAAGCAACATATACAGCTAGCAAATAGGGCTCAAAAGATGTAACAGCTCTAAACACGGTAGAAATATCAGGAACACAGACATTATTTGATGCTGAATAGCTTACAATTACAGTCAATGCAGCTCTTATTACAGAATGGATGGACTGAAAGTTATTTAATGACACTTTACCAACTACAGCAATTATAATAACACCAAGAGAACATGAAAGGATTGCGAAATGTCATGATCCATTTTAAGGTAGCATCCTGGCATATGAATTGAGCAACTGAGGAAAGACATGACATACATATCAGTACAGTTTATCCTCTGGTCATGATTAGGACTGTGCACCTCCCAAGTACAAGCGAGAAGTGTTACTCCTTGAGCCAATTTGCTCAGTTCGTAATTATAAAAAAAATATATTGAATAAAGCATTTGTATGTTTGCTCAGGATTGGTCTGGTGGTCATTCACTCTCCTATTCAAGAATACTAAGAGTCACTTTCCCTGTGTTGGTACAGCTACAGAGTCTGACTTACCTTCTGGTACAATGTTAACCAATACCAGCACAAAGTTCAATTAGTGGACACTGACTGTATGTCTCTTATAACACATCCTTCACAAGATTCATTGCTGTACTTATTCACAATTGTCCAGAAACACAGAGACAACCGACTTATATGTTCTTCTAATACTTCAAAGATCTTAACTGTAAAAAAAAAATAATGCACTTTTTGTTTTCACCTCCAGGCTGAAAACATCATACAGGGAAGTACAAATGGCCTCCAACAATAAAAACCATGCACCATATAATTATTTGGAACTAAGACCTACATATTTCAAGCTGTATTTGTTAACGTACATTTTTCGTCTGTTTGGTCTCTGACTGCTATGGTATCAGGGCTGATACTGACACATGCTGGGTTGAAGGTCTCTGGCTGCATCCCTTGCCACCTTGGAGAACATAGCAAGCGACCCTCATAACTGTATAGACTCAAGCTAGATTTCTCCACCAATAAGAAATGCCTGTACCGAAGATAAATAAGCCAATTGGAACAAATGCAAAAGGATACAAAAAACAGTAACTAAGTAACTAATTCTATGAAGTAGAGTCATTCTTGAGAAGCCAATAGTTGCCCAGCCAGTCAAAAAATTATTCGCTTTTCATGGAGCTCAAAAATGCGTTATCACATTCACAAAAGATCACCACTGGAGCCCATGTGGTGCCAGATGAATCTGACCCACATCCTCACATTTTATTTCATTTTAATTTTAATATTATCTTTCCCTTTATACCCTTGCAGCACAATAAACTAACCTCTCAGCCAGAAGGAGCATACAGACAGAACCTTCACGCAGGTCAAATATGACTGGAGTGTTCCAGTTCTTTGTAGTATATATGTGGCACTGTGATGATGTGACCACCACCAGGTGGTTGTACCCCAGTGATACCTTAATAATACGATCAGGGAACTCCAGTTTCTCCCAAGCATCATTGCTTACATTCTGTACACTGATACTCTTGCGGCCCGTCACTGTCACCTCATAATTCTTCCATTCCAATCTCCTGGCAGACAAAATCCCATTAACATTAGAGAAATGAAACAACTAAACCTAGTGCCATGAAACTTAGAACCATTAAACATGGTATGGTGACATAACATAAAAAGCCAAGCAACCTCTGTTCAGGACCTTTTCTATAAAAAATAAAACAGCCATATGACAACTGCACAAAATTCATATAGTAAACATGGATTCTTTGCAGTACAGTACAGTACAGTACTACACAGTCAGTACAGCTTGAGGGCAAACACTGATGAAATTTTGTTACTCTGTTTGGTTGCAGCAGCTATGTATAATGAATGAACTCATGCTTAGAAAATGTCATCCTGAAGGGAGACTAATAATAATAAAAAAGGGTACTAACCAATCAACAATTTACTAATAAATGGTAATTAATGCAAACTGAAACCATTCTCCTGAGCTCTCAGTTCGGGCTTAGAAAAAGCATTTCCAATTTCACGATTCTTATTGTAGTACGTAGTTCTTGAAGCAGAGCTTCAGCTTAAAAGATTAGTTGCATACTGAATCAGCTTTTGTATTCATAACTCTGATAAAATGTTTTCTTTTAAGGCTGTAAATAACAATGGATCCATTCAGAAAAAACAAAATGAACCCTAGAAACATCCCTTATAAAGAACCCTTGAGTACGAAGTCCTCAGGTCCTATCAAGAAGTTTGGAAATTAGTATAGTCTAGTCTATATTCTGAGGGAAGTGTTTAAAGGAAAATTAACCCTGTAAGTTCTCAGAATTGTTGCCATAACTGTACATACCTTTCAATGATGTGAGCAAAGATTACATGCCCATTGCCGCAAGCCCCAGCAACTTGGGTGCCATCACTTGACCATGTGATATTGAATATACTGCCTGTGGTGGGTTTCTCCAAAGAATATGACCACTTCGTACAAAAATATGCATGATTTAAGTTCACTGTAAAATAGCTTCAGTCCTTAAGAATTACTAGGATACAGCTGGCATACAAGTCTAAACAAAGCACTGTTTGTGTCTTAGTTTAATGACAATTTATCAACAGCACATGTTATACTATGAAGCCGGGATACCAGTCAGTACAGCAACTGGCTGGACAATAAAGGGGTCGGAATTCGAGTCCCTGTAGGGTCGAGAATTTTCTCTACTCCATGTTGTCCAGACCAGCTCTTGGGTCCACCCAACCTCCTATCCCAGGGGTCGGCAAACTACGGCCCGCGGGCCAACTCCGGCCCGCCGCCGCTTTTTCTGTGGCCCGCGCGCTAAGAATAGATTTTACATTTCCAAACTCTTAAAAATGTCAAAGTGGGATAATATTTCATGAAACAAGATAATTATTATAATATGAGTTTAATATTTCTGCGTCTATGAAGCTTTATTTATAGGAAGAAACCTACGTTCTTTCGAACATATTGTCTATGGATGATTACGCACTCCAACGGCCGACCTCGAGTTGAGGAGTTGCGAGAATTCCCGTGTGTGGCGCTCCAATAGCTTCCCATTCGCACGTTCCTTCGTGGCCCCAGCTGTGATGACACGCAGTGTTACGAATGCCACGTGTATCGCTGTTCTGTGTCGTTTTAATACCAGTGGATATCCATTATGTCGGTGTCGAAACCACAAAAGAAGAGAAAAGTGGACTTGGAATGTCGTGGTTTTAAGGCAGATTGGAGTGAGAATTATTTTGTTACTGAATTAGATGGGAAAGCATTGTTTATTGTGCAGTGATACTATAGCTGTACTAAAAGAGTACAATATACGTCGGCATTA